TTGCGTCCTTGTTGCGGGGGGGGGGCCGGGGCTGGTTGGGAGCTTAGGCCCCAGCTTTGGGGTTCCCTGCGTTTCACCACCCAGCCCCAGACTGCACAACCAAATCCCCTCCAGCAGCTCTCTTCCCCCTCCCCCCAGCTCCTCCTCTCCTTTGTCCAGTCTCCTGGCCAAAAGGTGTCACTTCTCCCAACCCCCCTCCTGGCTCAGGTTACAGTTCAGGTAGCTTCCTTCAAGGGAAGCCCCCATCCCCAGTGTAACTCCCCTGCAACATTCCCAGGTCAAATCCACCCCGCTCCCTGTTGCATCACAGGTCCTCTCCTTAGTCCCGCCCAGCAGCAGCTGTAAATCAGACCCTGCCTCATATGGGTGGAGCCCCCACAAGCCCCGTCCCTCCCCAGGGGTCCTGCCCCACCCTGGTACCCCCTTGGGTGTGCTACTCACAGATGGGGTCTTGCTGAGCCGGTGCCTTTAATGCCCCCTTAGGGCTGGTGCTAAAAGACAAAATCCCTTTGTAAATGTCATATCCCCCGACCAGTGGGGAGATTCCCCAACACACCGAGAGAGCCCTCCCATCCTGCCTCACACTGAACCCAGTTCCCTAAACCCTCCTTGTCCCAACCACCAGACCGCACCCCACCCTGCTGTAACCACTAGACCCCACTCCCCTCCCTGAGCTGGGACAGAACCCAGGAGCCCTGTGACCCAGGCAGGTCGAGCAGGAGCAGGGAAAAGCCGGGTTCCTACCTGCTCGGTCTCGGTGCGGCTCCTTTTCCTGCAGAGGGACACAAACCAGAATCCCCCATGAGCCGATCGGGATCCCCCGGTCCCAGCACCCGGCCACTCACCCCCACAGGGCAGCAGGGATGGGGGACTCTGAGGGGGTCCCCTCTACTGCTGGTGCTGAGCCTGGATCCCGGCTGGGCTGGGCTGGACCAGCAGGGGGCAGCACAACACCAGAGCATGCGCCGGGGAGAGGGGCAGATTTCCTGTCCCCAGTCCTCCCTCGTTAATGACTCCTTATAACGAACCTGATCCAGGCTGGTCAGCTTCTCTGTCACCCCAGGTACCGGAGAAGCAAGGTGCCGGCAGCTCTTTATACAGGGACACCTCGCTCAGCGCTGAAATGCGGACACCTCTGGGGTGGGACAGCTGTGTGTACAGGGATTACACATGCAACAGCGCCCCCTGCTGAGCCCCCCTGCTCCTTGGCTTTCCCAGCACAGTCCCCCATCCCAGCCGTGACCCCATCCCGCCCTGCTTAGCGGCAGGTTTAACCCTTCCCTCGCTGGGT